GAACGGCTTTGACGGGGTGACACACTCATACTGGCTGACACGCCCAACCGTCCGCAGCGAACTAGAGTGTATCTAGACAGCCTCTTCTCGTATTGACAGGTTTTAACATGATGGCTTGACGACCTTGCTCCAGCTTCACAAGAGTTCACAGGTTTCGCCAGAGTGAGACATGTAAACCGGAACTAAGGAAGCAATGATAGTACAAAATGCCCCCACCCGTCACCGAACTGCGCCTAATTTTCTTTGGCACGGTAAAAGGCGCACTTCACTCCGTCCCTGAAATTGGAGAAAGATTGGTCGCGAACAAGGCGGAAAGATCCGTTTTCCGTCCGATATTTCCATTTGAAGCCACCCTTTCTACCTTGTGCTAGACAAAGACACGAATACAACTGCTTCAAAACAGGGAGATTGTACGAGAAACGCAGCTGCCCAGCCGTTCGAGTGAGGTACGCGATCACTCCGGTCCATCTTCGGGGTGTGGAGTATACATTTACTCAGCTTCATATGTGTGCTCACGACTGAACCGTTTCAGATGACTTCAATGGAGCATTCTCGCTAACGTCTATCGGTCCACCTTGACTTCTTGTCGAATATCGTATTTCTGAGTACTCTATGAGCAGCAAAAGCGTTTCCTTCGCTCCAGCTAAGTTTCCTGTTTCGTGACCTTGGGAGAATCCAAATAGAAAGAACTTCGACTGTGTTTTATAAAAGCTACCCTTTTTTAGCATTGCAGCGATATCACAGTGGTAGCGCGTTGTCCCGCGTTGACGTGCGTTACAGCGCGTTCGCGCGTAGGATCAGATCCCCAGCGTGTCAATACTGCCGGCATTTCGACCCTTCATGTCAAACGTAGGAATGCGATCTGATACGTGTCTGTAAGTCGCTATCTATCGTAACGTAACATATCGTAGTCCTAATAGAGTCTCCATTGTCTAGAGAGCTCGAAATAATGCAAGTACTACACATTTAATAAGACTTGTAGTGCAGGAAGGTTGGACAGGAAATTCGAAAGGAATCTTGATCATAAAGTGATAGCAATTCGACCAGTATGACCGCACAAGCTACATCATCGTTGGGGCGGAACAAACAGGGCTCGGTGGAGGCGGACGTTTCCGCTGGGGAAGGGTCGTAGAAAAAGTTTCAACTTTTCGTGATTCTTCCAGTGTGATGTGAACTATATACCACCCCCTCCCCTCCCGCCACTCTCCTTCCCCGCACCATACCACCCTTAGCTCAACAGAAGATTTTATGGGTGGAAATTGATAGACTAGGTGCTGGGGCAAGGTTTACTGACACCCTAGTGGGACACCCTCTATCGAGGGGGGGGGGGGTCGTACCTACACCACCATTCCACACAACACGATACTTAGTGACCGCAGCCTAATGTTGCTCGATGTGATAAGCCAGCCCAATGCTATCTAACAACAAAATCGAAGAGTTCCAGCGAAGTACAGTAACTACCGTCGCATCAGTCGGGCGGTCTCAAGAGGAATGAAATGAGCCCGCGTGGATTTCCACCTCTAAGGCGATCACTAACCAATCACTATTGGTAGAGCAAAGCGGCCGAAGGAGAGTCGAACCCGCCCCTCTGAACCCCGGCTGTTTCATTATCAACTTTACCGCGGACACGCACGTCATGATGCTTGGAAAGGAAAAAGAAAGTTCGCGAAAAAGCGTAACTTATATTCTTTATTTCCGTTTTATTCTATCGTACTTAATCGAATATATAATCTAATTGTCATTTTTCTTCTTAGTTTTTTTCCTTCTTATACTTCTTTGACTTCTATCCTTCTCCTGAAGTGGAACTAATTATTCCCTTGTATTCAAAAGGACTGTTCGAAGGGAGCAGTTCCTGATGCCTTTTCCTCCTTGGTGATGCTTACCTCCGGTTTCCCGTCGCGGCTTTTTCTCTTCCTTCTCGCTCGCCTACTAGGTGTCTCGTGCTCACTACTTGAACTTGAACTGCTGCTGCTGCTACTACTACTACTACCACTATTACTATTGCTGGAGCTCGAAGAGCGGCGCCGATGCTTCTTCTTTTTGGCAGATCTGCAGACGCCTAATCCAGAATAGACGAATGGCACCGTTTCGTTCTTTTGCGGGTAGTGCCTGGAATGTTGTGTCTTTCTAGGGTTGAGGGCTGAAAACTCTTCAGGAATCCAAGTACCTTGAATAAGCAATTGCCGTTGTTGGCTCCACCACATCAAGCTTTCGGATAGATTGCGGCTGTAAATGCAAGTGTTAAATAACTCTGTTAAATAACGCTGTTGGGCTAGGGAGGGGCATTGTGCTCTATTGCTGGACCCTTTTGCAAGTTCCTGTTGAATTACACGTCACACCTTGGTGAGACCTGTAGACTCCTGTCAAGTGTAAAGAAGCTCATGCTATTGTACAGCTTTACAGGAATTACTGGTGATGAGGCTGCGTTCATACTTTGAGGCGTCCACCAGCGACTAGCAGCGTCTCGGAGTCTAGGGTATCGATCTAGCGTCTGACAGTGTCTACCATCGTCTCGATAGCTAGGGAAGCATAGGTATCGATCGAGCTTATGCCAGCGTCTACCAGCGTCCAGCAGCGCCCAGCAGCGCCCGGGAGTGGGATTATGGGGCAATAGGAGGATAGAGACAGCTGGTACCCTCCTACTGCAAAATGCTCTCTACCAACATCTGCTACTCTCCTATCTCCCCATACTCTACCAGCTGTTTGCTACCCTCCTATGGCCTACTCTCCACTCACGGACGCCGCTATTCGCTAGTGGACGCTGGTAGAGGCTGTTGGTCGATGGACTGATACTTATACTTCCCCAGCCCACGAAACGCTGCTGGTCGCTGTTAACGCCGCGCAAAGTATAACCGCAGCCTGAGAGGCATCGGCAGTGACCGATGGGAACCACTACAATACCCCTCCCATGCCGGAGTGCGCATAAGTTCGTTAATAATGAGTTGAGCAACAGATAAAAACCTTATTTTTTGCGAAATCTTCCAAGCCGTCCAGTGTGGCTATGATTGAGCGCACTGTGTTGCTGAGTACAAGCTCCTCGTTGAAATGCTTTTTATCTCTGCTCATCAGGTCGTCCAGCTCTTCATCTTGACCTCCCATATAGGCTCTGAAACATGGGTGAAAACTCACATCTCATCTGATAGTCTAGACACAAATTCCTCGTCAACCGTATGAATTGGGAAATGGTAGGGAATGCATAAAGTTTCGCTGCGGATAACGGGGCGTATCAGGGGGGGGGCGGATAAGCATGGCGCGGCACCAGCCCGTTTCCTTCGTTTTTCTTTCGGCAAGCGGTGAGACTAATGGTAAGTCATATCGTTTGTATCTACCCTTTTCGACCATCTTTCATTGCCTACCCGCTTCAGTCTGGTGGGGAATAAGTTTAGCAAAGCGCCAAACCCAGCCTCACTGACACGCCCCATCATCCGCAGCGAACAACATTGTATCCATAGTCACTGACGCTCCCCCTAGAACACGCCCACTTGATTATTGCGGATATTTTTTTGAATACGTAAAGTATAACGGCATGGTTTTGCAACCAACAGAAAAAGTGAAGCAGTTCATCGCACCACGACGCAGAAGTTGTCGGGTGGGTAGGTTCGGCAGGAATTGGGATTGGGAACCCTCTTGCTCACGGAGTATCGGAACTCATAAGATTTTCATTCCTTCAGGTTTCGCGATGACGCGCATCGACGCGTGTCGACGAGCTATGACGAGCTGTAACACATGTGGAACCAGCCACAACTGCAATGGCGCTCCAGTGCCATAGGAACGCAGCCGCAGACGGGTATCGATGAGCGCCGGTCGCTTGAGCTCCGAGAGAGCACACGATAACTGGAGGGCAGGCGCTGCCTTCACAGAGGGTGCTGCTCGCCTGCCTTCTGCTCTCCCAAGTCACCGGCCACTGGCGCAAATCGGTCCCTGACTGTGTGATTCGGAAGCGCCTGCCTACCCTCCTGTTGCCTGAAAACTTCCAGAACACGCACCAATCGCTACCCATCTGCAGCTGCGTTCCCGTCTTTAGCCTTTAGCGCCATTGCAAGTGGAAGCGTCAGCGCGTGCAACAGCACGTCGTCGCGAAGCCTGAACGGTGTCTCACCGCATCCTTATACATTTTCTTCTCTCGTTGGGTGAGCCTTTCAGGGTCCTTTGCGTAAACTTTTCGAGAGCCTGGTGTCGTAGTAATGACTAGCTGGCTGTTGGAATAATGCCACCAAGCTGCTTGGGCCTTATTCCTGCACGGACGAGTTTCCTCTATGCGTGGTCCAAGCATCGAGGAAAACTCGTCCACTTTCAGAACCAGGTGCAGGAATAAGGTTTTCCAGGTGCTTGGGCTCCATTTGCTTCACACATATCAGTTGGGTGGACTGTTCGGTTGTAGCCAAAAAAGAAGTGATAGAAAGAGAAGGTAAAATGATACGAAGAAATGTCCTCACGGAGGGTTCACTGACTCCTTCAACATCAGTTTTTTGTCTGCGAGTAGAAACAGTAAAGAAGACAGCGGTTTTCTATCCAGTTTTGGAATTTCTGACTTGAGTTTTTTATCTTTCCAGAACGGCCGCCCTTTCTATAACGAAACTTTCGTTGCAAAATCGAAATAATTGGTGACCCTTACTTTTTGGTATGAGATTTCTGTCTTATCGTTTTACCTTACATCACTCGCTTTCAATCAACGGTACCGTCCTCGCTGATTGTGTGGGTGGTGTGAGGTCGCGATGCCTTCCTAACGATGCGCTCCCTCTACTGTTTCAGAAAAAGGAACTAGCCAATGTGGAAGTTTTGATGGGCCTCAGTACGCCCACACGATTAGCGTGAACGGTGTCCTCGAGGTTTTCCTTAAATCTCTCATAATTTCTGGATGCAAATGCTCAGCAAAGCTGCTCTGAGCACTTGAGGGGCCGTCCTCAACGGAATATTGTGTCCCTGCTAGACAGTTCTACTCCTGCTAGGCTGCGTCCGCGGTTAGCGGCACCTACAGCCAAGCGAACAAAGCCATTCGGCAACTTTGCGATTAGCGTTGAAGCGCATTCGTCACCTTCATTAGATCGGATTCGACATCTCCCCCCCCTGTGGAACATCGTTCAATTGGTCCTCCTCAGCCAAACGACACTCACTTCTCAATTTTTAAGACCGTATTCTACCAACCACGCTTATTCCCGCACTTCAACAAAGTTACCAATTGTGAGCACTTGAAAACACTTGCTGCTATTAACCTTGATTGTGGGGCAGTCAGGCTCTCTGTGCAAAAGCGGGGACACCCTAACTAGACGAAGACTTCACCCTGAACCTAAAGGGTGAAGGAGCTCCTTAGAAGATAAGCTAATTTCTGGTACAATAATCTCATCCTTATAGGGGTAATCCGAGTTTCACATAAAACGAGTCCTTCAGAAATCTTCCTATGATTATTCGCGTCAAACGATACGCTGCAGTCCATTACCTCATTGAAAATTCGACCATTATTAGTGTTGTTTGTCGTTACTAGTATTAAATCATCGCGATGACTTGTGTCTGTGAATGCTTCAACATCTTCGTCTTCTTCACCTTCGTCATCCTCTTCTTCAGCACCCCTGCAAAAGGACCGAGAAATCGTTCGAAGTTCTCCAGAAATGGAAAACGCGATAAAAATGCGCCAAATAGTCATAGGAGCAAGAAGTAAATAAATATATAAATAAATAGATAAATAAAGTAGGAACACCAGATATCGTCAAAGTTTTCCTATGCCACTTCATCGCCTTGTTTCGCCCAGGATACAATTCCCGTCAAGGTGCCCTCTCCTAGAACAACCCCCTTCCCATCCGCCATCCCACCTACAATCTTCCCAAATCTCTACAGTTTCCTACTACTTTTTCGGAGGTTCCCCAAAATTAGACCCCTTGTTCACCAGAAGATGCCGTTGAGCGGGGCGCGTGGGGGAGAGGAGGAAAGTCAAAAAAGTCAATCATCAGAATCCCAGTGTGCTCCAGTTCCATTTCTCGGCTTCAGAGGAGGCGAGTAGCGAGGTATGGTGCTTGTGGGTGTTCATTCCTATCCCTTGCACGACACGTCCCCTCTTAGGGAAAATTTTCTAGAATAGGACCATCCTGAATTTGCCTCCTATGGTGCAACCCCCCACCATTAAAGGCATATGGCACAATCTTGGTCATACATCAATGCAGCACCGCGGCCGCTTCATATCAATCCCTTCGCTTCATATTTTGCTTAGCAAATGAAGCAATACGAGCATCAGGTACGGTCGTCCATTTGTGGGCGGGCGGGCGCGGTGGGCGTCGGGTCGGTATGTTGTAGCTTGATAGGGCCTCATAAGGTACCTTCCTTGCGAAAGGTGCTACGCAGCGCCTGCTCAGGGCGCAGAATTCCGTCCCGCCAGGCGTATTCATCGTACTCGCCTTAGAGATTTATTGTGCCGCCAAATCCCTTCAAGATATGGAAGGGTACATAGCGATTTCAAGGATGTATAGCGTACTCTGAACCAGAAATAAACGGGAAAAGAAAAGTCAACATCCGCAAACTTTTTTCACAGTGGAAATCCTCCAGCGACCAAACACGACCTCTGCCTTGGTCACTTGCATTCTATTTCTTCTCTTTATTCTTCAAACTTCTCATTTATTCCCCCCCCCCTCTTTTCAAATCACTTATTCTTTCATACGCTCCGTTACCCCTTTATCATACTCGCAG